TGATTAGCTCTACGTCAACCCCAACAATCGCAAATCTCCAGCAGCTGTTCAGTCATTTCGGTGTACCTGAAACGTTAGTTAGCGACCACAGTACTCAGTTCACCTCTCGACAATTCATGGAATTCAGCGAGCAGAGTGGCATTGATCACATCCACTTCCGACCTTTTCATCCTCAATCGAACGGTCAAGCGGAGAGATTTGTGGATACCTTCAAGCAGGCACTCCAGAAGTTAAAAGGGGAAGAAGCGACTGCAGAAGTAATCAGAAGGTTTCTGTTTCTATATCGGTGCACTCCAAACGCGAACACATCAAAAGGAGTTTCTCCTGCAGAGACTTTGATGAACCGAAAGCTCCGAATGCACCCAACGCCCAAGCTGAATCGACTCCTGATTAGATGACTAAGACGAATCAGACAGCTGTCGTCCGAACGAACAATCGGAGTATCAAGGTCGCAACCTGATTGGTGCATCATCACGTCTATTCTTGTACGCCAAATTTGCCACATATATTTGCGTATTGCTTCGTGATCAATAATATACTCTGACTGTCGTTTTCTCAGCCGTGCTCTCACCAATTTCCGGACCTAGTCGAGAGGCGCTCGTATCAATCGTATCGTCTTGACAAGACATAACAGTTTCATGTTATACAAATGTGTATAAAGCACTGATCTGAAAGCAACAGGGACATTGCGTGGGGTTTCGAATCTGCTTACTTTATCCTATACGAAATTCACCCAGATACATCTCAAATGAAAATGTTCCGTTTTTGCCATGTGTTCCTTATTAAAAATAAAATCCGATAGGCGAAATAAGCTGTTTTTTGATAAATTCATCAACTGGCCCTTTACATTTATATAGATTGAGTATTTAATATTGTTTGATCCTGTGTGAGGTGGATCTTACTACCCCGTGTACAACGCGACGCTACATGCGTCAAGAATTTGATTGAGTTTCCCCTTGGTTACAGCATTCTTCCAGTTACCACTCTCGCATCAGTTTGTCGCTCAGCGGCTGGCCATGGTAGAGACTGGACGAAAAGCTTCTGCTTGCATACTGGGGAGTCAAACAGTTTGATCGCCATAGCTTCAGCTGTGCATAGAAGGATGAAGCGTACGGATTTAGATGATCACGGTGGGTTGCGATAAACGGTTCTAAACGCTCGTTTTATGTCCACTTGGTGACTACTTTCTAGTAGGTGTTAGCATATCGCGCTTCTCGCTGTCCTCGTTTCTCCGTATGCTTATCATCAACTGTGGTGTTCCTCGTTTCTCCTTGACAGTTGTCTTGTTGTCCAGCCTATGTAGCTCGCTCCACGGGAGCAAACAATAATGAATGCTCTCCCTATATAAATGTGATGGCCAGTTGATGAATTTATCGAAAAACAGCTTGTTTCGTCTATCGGATTTTATTTCCAATGTCCTTTATTAAGCGGCGTATGTGTTTGTGTGTGTCTGACTTGGCCGATCAAACACCCATGGCAATTTAGCTAAATCAGTTCACCTCTAAACTGATGTTTGTGATCATTGTTGCATCCCTGCCAGTGATCGTCAATCCCCCCTTCGCAAACCCCGCTCGTCATTGACACAGCAGAACTATTAGTGACGCTCACAGATCATCATACGGTGGAGTAGAGTATCACAACTGTTGCTAGACAGTCTCGTGCGTGTCAGGAGTCTAGGTAACTCATAAGTCCTCGTGGAGTGTACCACCGCAGGAGGTGTGTGTGCTAGCCCAGAAAGTGATTATAACTAAACCGTGGATCTCAGTGGGAAGCCCACACCAACTCCAACGGAGTCAGACGAATCACGTGATATTCGAGAGAAACTGAGACAGTCTGATAGCTTGTCTACCGGAAACAAGTCAGTATCAAGTCAATTTTAACAGCTTAATAACTTGGAAAGATGATAAGAAAATATGTGTCACGTGAACACTAAATAATTGTGAAAATAATAAGAGGGAATGTATTAACGTGTGCCTCAACCCAAACTGCATCGCTTCCGACCTGGTACACGGGTTCGTTGCGCTCAGCCTCGGATATTCTCGTTCAAAGACAGACCATGCTCTAGAGCTGCGCAAACGAACACGACACTCTTTAGGCACTGTGGTTTGGACAGTTTACGTTTGTTGTGTAGGCCATTGTGGAGAGAACACAGAATCGATTATTCGTGTTTCTTGCCCTGGTTGTGCATCGGCAACCAAATACGTAAGTAGGCTGAATGAATACAAGGGTAGGTGGGCATAGCATGATATCTTTTGTGATTCAACTTGTCCGAATATCATTTCAACCTGACTCAACATCAGCTCAACCTGTCCCGTTGGCTTGATTAGCACTAAGAGGCCCATCTATTGTTTAAGCCTCCCAACGATGTCTGGATGACCACCATGCAGTACGGATCACTCAACCTCCCGCTTAAAGCCCGGAGACGGTCGTAAGACCTTGTAAGATTCTTCAACACTTATTAAATATATTGGTCGATTATCTTACTATATTTAGTGTGTGTGATGTGTATGTATTCGTCCCCTCCCGCCGAAAAGTAAACTGGAAACCTGTTCCGCNGATCAACGCTTGAGCCATTGCTTACACCCATTGCATGATGTTGCAATAGGATGCATGTTTCACCCCGAACGGTTGAAATAGGAGATCAAACAACCACGCTTGATCAATAAAGATATCAATTTTATCCGGATTCATATCTAGTTTGTGTCGTTGGCAAACTGTTATTCCATTTCTGTATTATCACCGCACAGAAACCGACAGAATTTCGAGACTGGACATTCAAATCAATCAAAAGAACCACTTTGGTCAGATATACGAAACAAAACAAGATATATCAATCAGACCAACTGCGATTGAAACAACCTAACGAGGGCTGTCGAAAGAGACTATAAATGTTCTGATAGCCAATTGATTTCATTAGAAATTCGAAGTCAGGAAAGCTGGATGTTTTCAAAATGCACTTTTCTGAGTTGGAACTCTGAATGTTCTATAACCTCTATGGTTGAAGTCATAAGACCTCACTAAAAGAGTTTTCCACTACACAATGTAAGCCGGATTAGTTACGTCTAGGGTGTGACATTCACAAGTGATCATTTGCAAACTGACGTCTTACAATCGTAATGTCAAATAAAGCTAATCGAAGGTGCGCCAACGTAAAAAAGACACTGCAATTTCTCAGTTCACTTCCGAGATGAAGTATCACCGTAACCGCTCCGTGATTTGTGATTAGTGATTCCCACAGACGCCACCAATCAGAAAATATACAAATTTTCGCTAACTGAATAAGCAATATAGCGTTACTTATCGTCCAACAATTTGAGTGAATTGTGTGAAAAGGGAAGATTCTGTGAGTTAGACGGTTACACAGGAGCACACGACATATAGGTATGTTCTTGACATGTAAGTGTCACTAAATGGCCACCAGTTTTCAAGAACAAGATACAAAGAAGTGGATCACTTGTGGTGTACCTGTCGAAAACGGGGAATCACATAAACAGTGACAAAGAAAATTTGATGTTGGTTTCTTCTAGCATGATGTATGGTCAAACCAAACTCCGATTCTATGGCAGCATAAAGACAAGCGATCGATCCTGTTCTGTTTCAGGATGCGTTGTCCATACTTGAGTTTAGTCAGTTGGTGAACCTTGACGTTAACCGAAATGCAAACGCCTATTATAATTACAAGTGAGCGTTCCGATCGAACATGATTGACTCGTGGCGTATTGCAGTTGCTTGAAGCGTGCATCCTATTGCAATAGGGGCGTAAGCAATGGTCCACGCGTTAATCACGCCTGATCGATCGGGGCGTACTCCGCCCCGATTTTATTTTTCAGCGGGAGCGGATGAATACACCCCCTCCACACACACACACACACACACACATTACACAAACACACACTAAATATGGTGAGATAAACATACATGTTGGATCATCTCATAAGGTCTCACAATCGTCTCCTGACCTTTAACAGGAGATTGGGCAATTTGTGCTACATGCTGGTCATCCGGACATCGTTAGGAGGCCTGAACAGTAGATGGGTCCGGTATTGCTGATGAAATCAACGGGACAGCTTGAGATGATGTTGAGACATGTTGCGGTTATATCCAGATGTCTTGCAATGGTACACGGACATCTGCCGCATTTCTGCACTGCCCCCTCCCCAGCATTTGTAATGGTCGCGGTCCCGTTCCGAAGAAAATGGATTGTACTCTGATGGGATCAACAAGCAAAAACAACGTAAAATCAATTTTTCATGTTCAAAGTCAACTGGCGTGCACGTGATCCTGTGAGGACTACACAATGACCGGGAATGTCTCTCAAATGTTATGGGACACACGCATAGTTGATGGGCAAATCTACTTGACAGAACCAAAGGGGCCGATCAGCGATAAAATGCCGGCATTCACTGCTGAAATGAGTCATTGTATCAGTGCATGCACTGTCGTACCGCGGCCACAATTCGTTCAAATGATCCTAGTCTGTCTGTCACACAATCTTGTGCAGAACGCTCCAATCAACTGATTGATTGATTTGTCAGTTGATTGATTGATATCCGGGCTTCCGTTTCAAGAGATAATGTAGTCTAATTATTGGACGCCACAGGTTGTTACTGACTACTCAAGTTACACTTTCCAATCGGTGTAATATTCAGTTAACCATTATTTTTGCGCATCATTTCATTGTTATCATCATTGTCAACACTATCATCTTCCTATATGCGGTCCAAACTGTCCTGACGTGTGTACACAAAACTAATGTTTCAGCGTCGTATGCAACGGAGTGATATGAATAAGTCAGATAATGACATCTCTTTACTCCGTTGGAATATAAATATTCAGAGATCTGTGGCAACATTTATCCAATAGATGAAAATGATTTTGTATCCGTCAATCAATGAAGCTGGATTTGCCCGGTGAATTAATTTCCAATCGTGCGCAGGGATATCATACCCAATCTTCATTTTTTATGTCTGTATTTCTGTTTATCTTTTTCTCGAATTTAGAAATGCTCCAATGCAACACTCGTTCGTATCCAGTAAATCGCTCGATCACATGGATTCCGCAGTGAACAAGCGCGGGGAGCGGGAAACAACGGCCAAAACAACCTCAATGCACAGTTTACGCGGTGAGTGAGTGAGTGAGTGAGTGAGTGTGGACAGCAGTGCCATGAGTGGTCTCATGACTCTCATGACTCAAAACAATCCAGTAAAAAAAAAAAGATGATGGCAAAGAGCTCGAAAATCATGAGAAATGCGTCAGTCTGCGGCCTGGAATTCGAATTTGACGGGGTACATGTTGCAGAAAAGACGTCTACATTAAAGGGTGTGTGGGGGGGGAGGAGGAGGCGGGAGGATTGATAATAGGATCTGGATTCACCCAGTGGTAGTATCCACCGAGTGATTGACGAAAAGCAATTGGGATAGCATGGATTATGCAAACAGTTTGATCAAACACCTATGAGGGATGGATAAGATAGATTGACGGAAGTATGACATTCAAGTGTTCGAATAATATCAATACATTCCCGGACATCCGTGGTTTGTCACGGTTGACGTGATGGTGACCGATTCATTGTAGTTGGAATTGTTCAAAAATTGTCTTTTTCTTCATTATTTATTTACTTTACAAATATACAGTCAAATTTCAGGAAGAGAGCAGTGTTCATACAAAGGCCGCCTGGGGAAAATATAAAAATGTGGAAGACTGTGGTCTCGAATGCGACACAATCCTAACTAACCGAGATGAGGATTTCAGACGGATCAAGATTTGTTCAGGTTGAATATGCGGCGCGGAGGGTGCAACCAACAGGTCGTCAATTTTTGAAACGTAAGACAATATCGGGAACTTTATCAGCCCCCCCTCTCCCCGCGTCAGTTAGGTTCTTATAATAGCCCTTTGGGTTGAAAAACACGGTTTCCACGATAGAATTAACCGTTGTAATGTATCCATTAGAATTGGTACAAACGTGCGCTAGCCTTTCAAATGTATTTGCACAACAGAATCACATGAGTGCTTTTTTCTCCTGCACAACACACCAATAATTATTTATACTCACATGTGAACAGGAATGGTAGGGACATAATGTGTAGGGAACTGTCAAAACGGTTGCTGTGTTCCCAACAAGAAAACATATACGACGGGGATGGCATAAGCACCAAACTTCCATTCCGTTTGTAGACGATGGAAAGATCCAAGTTAGCATTGTGCGGAAGAATCTCAAATCACGTGACGA